TCCTTCCCCGGTAATGGCCAGCCCTAAAGTCCCCGCCGTATCTGCCTCTCCCTGTTATGACCGCAATGCTCCGACTCTCCCCCGTGGGTATAATTCCCCCAACCACCCCAATGGCCCCCGCTTGCCCCGCCAGGTCCTCCGAATCAGGCATACTCAAACACTCACACAAACAGTCCCCACAGTATAGTTAAAACACAAAAAGAATACAGCAATAATAATACTAAAAGTGGGTCTTTCATACTAACACATTCAATCCCACGCACTCAACATACCCGCTTAAAATTGCGCAACACAGAGTTTAAAATTATGAGTTCCAGAAGAATGATAAAGTCTTCACTTAATGATAAAGTCTTCACTTTACTGTATATCCTCATCAATTCAGTATACCAAATTAGAGCAAATCACCTTCATCTTATCTGTAAGGTCATTTAAGTGTGGTGGCAGCCATCTAATGATTGCCCCCTCTCCAACCTGTCGGCTAGAACCACCTGACTCATTCCCTGCAAAGCTTTGCCCTAGCAGCAGCAGCCTCCGCTGAACAGGGTCTCATAAGTACAAATACAAAGTGCTAAAATATATTCTACGTAAGTACTAATAAGGCAAAATATCCCATACATTATTATTATTAGAATACACATGAATGTGAAATCACAAATGCCACTTCTTCATCTCTGTTTGGCACATCAATACAATATGTCTGTGCCTCTTTCTAATTGACAAATGGAATTTTGCCAATCATAACAAATGGAAAATTTGTTTGAAAAGTGCTGTCCAAAATAATTTTGATATGGCTTCTGGTGTGCCAATAATCACTGGGACCATTATAGACAATTTATGCTATAATCATTCCAGTTTGATTTTTTTTTTAAAAAACCCACAGTTGTATATCAGTCACATGTAAAGTTTTTTGTGTCTCTTATTCTTCCCCACCCTTATTTGGACCTTTTTATACATCTTCCTCAAATAAACTTATTCTTGGTTTTGAACCTAATTTTAGAACACAATTATTGAGAAATAATGGATACTCTTGCTTTTTTAAATTGGATCATTTTTTCTAATTTAAATACGTTTGGGAGTGGATCTGTGTTATATATGTCTTTTGCCATCATATCTTCTTTGTTTTTGAATTACAAACCATCTTAAACAATTTTCTCAAAAAAACCTCTCCTTTTTTTTCTTTTTTCTTTTTTGGTAATAGATCCTCCTTTGTGGCATGGAAATATCCAGCACAGGGCAGTTCAGTGACTGACATGGGTTACTTCAGCTTTTTGTTTTCAACTCTTACAGGTAATTGGTACAAATTTACTTCACTCTTAATGTTGCTGGAATGTTTAGAAGACAGATTTCACATAGTATATATTTACTTCCACTTGTTGACTTCACTTGAATTTAGTTATCTGTTCTGTTTCTATTGCATTTTATTCGTATTAGTTCACATGATAAATATAGTCTTTATTGCTTGGAATATTTGGCCAATGCCACTCTTAGTGCTGTCAAGTTCGCCTCATGAGCTTTGGCAGCCAATGTGATTTCCAGACGCCTGGCTTGGCTTCGACATTGGCAGGCAGATATGTTTAAGACTGTATTTATAGAGAAATATTGAAGAGTTCACAAACCTTTAAATACCATTGTATTTATCTATTTATTAAATTAAGTGAAACATGGAATGTTGGGTTTCTATTTTGTTTGTAAGAACCATATAGAAAAATAATAAGTGTTCACTTTGAATTATGCTCCTAATAGGATTCTTTATCATCCTTTTCAGGCTTTTCCAGTGAAGAGTTGAGTAATCTTCAGAGCATTAGGGGAAAACCACACATAAACCAAACACCTCTCTCTCCTGTCCAACTCTATTTAACAGATTTTGAACAATTTTCATATCATTGGACTATGGCAGAGGTAAAATTTTCTGTATTGAAAGAGTCTTCCTTAAGTGATTTTCATTTATCCTAAAATGAAATGTTTATGCACTAACTGTTGGAGAGAAATGCACATCTGTTTGATGAAGGGGAAATGTGAAATGCAGATGTATTTATATTAATATATTATATATTTATATAATATGTAGTATATTCTAAGTCACCCAATTGTCTTGCAGTGAGATGGTTGGCAAACAAATTTAATAAACAATAATAATAAGAGACAGAAGGGCTAATTTTGGCTGCACAAGACCAAGCCTTAAGAACAAATTCACACAAAGCCAGAACTGAGAAGAAATCAAATGCTACCTCTGCAAAGAAGCTGAAGAAACAGTGAACCACCTGATTAGCTGCTGCAAGAAGATCACATAGACTGAGTATCAAAAAAATGGCATGACAAAGTAGAAACTATGGTGCATTGGAAGATTTGCAGGAAGTACCATTTGCCTGCAGAAAGTCATAGAAAATGAAAAAACTAAAGTGCTTCGGGACTTTAGAATTTAAAAAAACAACAACTAGGCATCTTCCACATAATTTGGCAAACTTAACAATTGTAGATAAAAAAGACAAAAAAGTCTGGATAGTGGATGTGGCAATACCTGGAGACAGCAGAATAGAAGAGAAGGAACTGGAAAAGATAACAAAATACAAAGACCTGCAAATAGAAGTAGAACAGTTGTGGCAAAAGAAATCATAGATAGTACTAATTGTAATAGGTGTCCTGGGTATAATCCCCAAACAACTGGAGCACCACTTGAACATCATTGATATTGACTGCTTTGCTTGGCATAACTTAGGTCTTGCAACTATAACTTTAAGACCATCAATCATCTACATCTGCATATCCCAGGTTGTTGGGAAGAACTCGATTGCTAGATAAAATGCCAAATCCAGACTGGACATCAGACTGACTGTGCAATGAATCAAACAACATAGTAATTATATAAAATTTAAAAGGAAAAAGGTATGACATTGCCGTAAGTGCATACCTATGCTGATACATGTGTAACTTTTTGCTAATCGGTTAGCTAAGGTGTGCAGGAAGCACATCACTGTGGGACTTTAATTACCCTGACAGTATCTGGAAGATAAACTCTGGGGAATGGAATGTTAAATTAGTTCATAAAGAACATAGCAAACAACTTAATCATCCAAAAGATAGAAGAATAGAGGAAAGAACCAGTCCAACTGTATTGGACTTAATTCTTACTAATAGGGATGAAATGATAGAAGGGATCGATTTGAAAGAATTTTGGGAGAGTGACCTTGTCATTGGAATTCAACATACTGTAGGAACAAGTAATCAAAAAAAGTCAAGAAGGCTAACTTCAACAATCTTAGAGCTTAGGAAGCTTGGAATGGAAAACAACTCAAGTTGCTTGGGAATCTCTGAAAATTGACATTCTAAAAGTCTAATTTAGCATAGCATCACAGAGGGCTGGTGGTGGAAAAGACAACCCAAATGAAACCATCATGATTTCAATAATTCTCTGATAAACAGAGATACAATAAAAGGGAAACATTAAAAAACAGAAAGAGGGATACAAGTAAAACAGAATACCAGAAAATAGCCCAAATCTGCAAGGAGGAAAGTTAAGACTCAGAGTAAAACAAACTAGCAACAAATGCACCCCCTCACACAAATATCTTTCAATATGTAAAAATAAGAAAACAGTCAAGGAAATGATTAGTCCACTATTAATGGTAGAGGACAGCAACGTAATAATGGCTAGTAGGGAGAAAGCCGAACTGCTTAATTCATTCTTTATGCAAAAATAATCTATTAAAAGCAGTACCACTGAAGACAGAATAGGAATACAAGTCAAAAAACGCATGAAAATGGAAGCGAACACCTATCTACTCTAGAATATATATATCCAATGGTTATGAAGGAAGCATCAGATGTGATCATAAAACAACTGAATCATATATTTCAAATCTGGAGGAATGGAAAAATACCAGGAGACTGAAAAAATGTGGATGTGTTTTCCATTTTCAAAAAAGAAAAAATGGATCCAGGAAACTACCAACCAATCAGCCTAAGATCAATATCTGAGAAAATCCTGGAAAAGATAAGCATCAGATTTACGAGCACCTAGAAGCAGACAAATCTATACTAGACTCCCAAAATGGGTTTCTTAAAAACAGATCACACCAGACAAAACTTATTACCTTCCTTGACACAGTGTCTATATTAGTGAATCAGGGAAATACTGTGGACATAGTTTACTTAGACTTCAGTAAGCATTTGACAAATTAAACAACAACCTACTATTTCATATAAAATATGGGATAGATAATACTGTTACCAGATGGATTAGCTGACTAACCACACTTGACACATGGTCCTGAATGGAGCTACATCTGTGTAGAGGGAAGCATGCAATAGAGTACATCAAGTTTCTGTCTTGGGCCTGGTGTTCTTCAATATTTTCAGAAATTACCTATGTGAGGGTATTGAACGGGTGCTTATCAAATTTGCGGATAACACCAAGCTTTTTTTTTTTTGTGTGTGGGAAGATTGCTAACATTTTGGAAGGTAGACTCATGACACAGAAGGATCTTGATACACTTGAGCATATTTAACAAAATGCAATTCATAGTAAAAAAAGCAAGGTTTTACATTTCGGAAGAAAAACCAAATGCATAGATATAGAATTAATGGTTCCTGGCTCAACAGTAGTGACTGATAAGGATATAGATATCCTAGTAGACCACCAATAGCAATAGCAATAGCAGTTAGACATATACCGCTTCATAGGGCTTTCAGCCCTCTCTAAGCGGTTTACAGAGTCAGCACATCGCCCCCACAGTCTGGGTCCTCATTTCACCCACCTCGGAAGGATGGAAGGCTGAGTCAACCTTGAGCCGGTGAGATTAGAACCGCTGAACTGCAGATAATAGTCAGCTGTAGTGGCCTTCAGTACTGCATCCTAACCACTGCACCACCTCGGCTCTTAAATATGAGCCAGCAATATGCTGTAGCTGCAAAAAAAGTCCTAGGCTGCATTAACAGTTGGATAGTATCAAGATTATGTGAAGTGTTAATACCATTTTATTCTGCGCTAGTTAGGCCACTTTTGGAATATTGGGTTCAGTTCTGGTCACCATGATAGAAAAAAAGATGCTGAGATTCTAGAAAAAATCCTCAAAAGAACAAGGGAAATGGTGGCTAAGCTGTAGAAAGAATAGTTGTTGAAACTGGGTGTTTTTAGTCTAATGAATAGAAGGATTAGGCATGATGTGAGAGCAGTCTTCCAATATTTGAAGGGCTGTCATAGAGAAGAGCGGGTCAACTTATTCTCCAAAGCACCAGAGAATAGAGAAGTAATGAGTGAAAGAATGATTATTAAGGAGAGATTCAATCTAGAATTAAGGATAAAATTCCTGACAGGGAGAACAATTAATAGGTGAATGCCTATAGAATTGTGAGTTCTCCTTCAATGGAAGTTTTCAAGAAGAGGTTGGACAACCAGTTTTCTCAAAGGATATATGATCTGTTCCAGTAGGAGTTTGACTAAAACACTCCAAGGTACCTTTCAATTCCATTATTCCTTTTTCTATGTTCTGTGTAATCATCAATATCAAAATCTATATTTGAGTTTTCTCTAAGCTCCTTAAGATGCTTGTTTTGTGATCACTACTGTAAATACATATGTATATTCTCAGATCTATGCATGCTCAATTATTACTTTCTCAGGATACTATTATACATGTTTGATGTTAGTGTTTCAGAAAATGTTAAATCTTTCATAACCTTTTAATCTTTCATTAAATTGACTCTTTAATCAAGAAATTATTTAAGATGAGACATATAGTAAAAATGTGATATCTTTTTGTGTAAATTAAATAGGATTATTGTCTACATTGAAAAAGAGATATTTTGTGGTATCTTTTAGCCAAATTTGTACAGATTTCTGGGATTACAGAGGGCCATATGATTGAATAAGATCAGTAACCAAACAGAATTTTGAGATAAATTCCAGCAGTCAAACATTACTGGTCATCTTTCTAAACCATGTCAATATATTGTTTTAAACTTGTAATACCTTTGAAGTTTATATGTGTGTTACAATTTATTTTATAATGGACAGTGGCATTCATGCAGGAATTATTATTACAAAAAGTGCTTTGTACTTTGTACTGATAGTTCTGGACTTACATTAAATGAACTGTTTTATAAGTCAAGAATTACCTGTATAGATTTACCTTTCTTGAATACATTTAGAGTTTGTGATCAGAATGGAAGTGTAAAAAGTTTTATTGCATGAGTTGGTTGTTGCATATTATTGGAAAGCCTGTTTTCTATTGATACCTGCACAGATACAGAAAATTGGTAGTCAGTTTTGTAAAATAATATGAGCAGATGTGAAACTGAAAAATTAAAGCAGAATCTAGCAAAGCAACAATTTTTCAAATTAATAACAACCATATTTTGCTTAAGTGTTTTTAAGTAGTCATCAACTTACAGCTTTAAATGATATTCAGTATATTATATAATCAAATAACAATTTTGGTGTTAAAATAGGTAGTGAGCCAATGCCTGTCCACTATTCCTTCACGAAGCCAGTGCATTGATGTTTTACAAAGTGGAATATGCAAATATCTGGTAGGTACCAATTTAGAATCAATTTATTGTTATTTACTATTATTAAGTATCTCTAGCTGATGGTTGATTTATTCACTTTATTTAAAATATAGTATAAAAATAGTATATGAATATGTATATGTGTATTTACTTGTAATGTTACATTTTTGTATTTTCTTTTGACCTAGTAAAGTATACTTGCTTATCTGTAATAGTAAGTTTTATATATGAAACCATTTATTTACTGCTGGCTGTTATATAAATGTGTAATCACTATACTGAAATTCTTAACATACTTATCTGTAAAATGTAAACCTGCCTTTGTTTCTAAACATAGCGATATCAAACAAAGTAAAGCAGATTTAAATATAATAACGTAAAATTCTAAACAAATATTTTATTAATAGCAACTAAGATGTCATTCAATCAGTCAGCTAATATAGCAATAGCAATAGCACTTAGACTTATATACCGTTTCACAGTGCTTTACAGCCCCCTCTCAGCAGTTCATAGAGTCAGCATATTGACCCCAACAAAATGGGTCCTTATTTTACTGACTTTAGAAGGATGGAAGGCGGAGTCAACCATGAGTCAGTGACACCCGAAATGCCAAATTACAGGCAGCCGACAGGCAGCAGATGTAGCCTGCAGTCCCACCATGGCTCTATATAAAAACTTTCCCATAAAGCCACAAAAGTAATAAATAATAAGACCTGCAATGTGGGTCTCCCTTTGTAGAACATTCTACCAAACATTGTGATGAACAGTCCCTATCTTGTATTTTATTTTATTTATTTATTTAGAAATAAATTTAGAAACTTCGGAGCAAGTTGGAATGCCAGATTGTAAAACATAATATGATTTGTTAATCTGTTTTAATGTGTGAATTCAACAGAAAGATCAAATTGTACTCACAGAATTCTGAAATGTCCTAAGTACGTTTTGTAACTGATTACTAATCATTGCCATCATTTAAGCCTGGATTGAGGATTATCTACTATACAGGAAGCAGAGTAATACAAACCAAAGTGAGATGTCTAAGTGGATCAACTGATTATTTCACCGACATCTATATTATTGGAATTGTTTGTTGACTCAATTTTGAATCAATACATTAATGTAACCTTCTCATTGTGCTGACTGTTCAGCATAGCTCTATCTATAACCTGAACTGGCAAAAGATCAGATATTAAAATGGATGAAAAAGTTTTTATTTATTAAATTTGTCTGCCACCCATCTCTTTGTGAGGCCATATCATTTGGTCCATTCTTTCTTTCTTTGGAATGCATGTAGAGACATCCTAGAGATCAAGGCATGCTATTCCCCCATCTTTTCTTATATGACAAGTGAAATGGGAGCATCAAAATGAAACTGTTTGAAGAGATGGCTTTCTTGGGAAGATAGGGACTGGATAGCAGAAATCATGAACAACTTTGTAATAGTTTTGGTTTCCAAGTTGTCTGAAAAGCAGATGGTCTTTAGTTCCAATGAAGCAAAAAGAGGAATGGGGGAGGGGGGGAGGTACCTAAAGAACAGCATTAGTTGTAAGTGTGGATACTGAAAGATCAATGATAGTGGATTCCTACAATACTGGGATTTGAATAGTAATTAGTTTTAGGCTACGTTTTGGCCAAAAGCATTTCATGTGACTAAAGAGAAGGGTTGTCAAAATGTTGGTTATTGTTGAATGAGTTTTTAATTTCTAAAACAAGAGATAAAATATAAGAACTTAAAGGATATTTGAAATTATTTTAGCAGAATTCTTCTCTTATAAGACACAAATAAAATACTTGTGCTCAAAGGTTGTGTGAAGAATTATTTAATCTAAAATTATTTTTGTTTCTTAGGTAGGACTGACTGTAATACCTGATAGCACTGCTGGTGCTATTTTATGTGCTCTTAGTAAACTACTGGATCAAGTATATGTCCTTAATGAAAGTATTTCCAGATTCCTAGCTTCTTTGTGTTATAGTCTTCTCTATCTGCTCTTAACAATAGAGAGGGAGGATACAGAACACATTCAGAAGAGGTAAACTTTTTAATTTTAGATTTTTTCCTTAAAATATTGATACTTTCCAAGCATTGTGTGCATGTGTGTTAGTATATGTTCTTGTTTATTGTAGCTGAAGACTAGTTTAGTTATACAGGTAGCCCTCTGCCTGTTATCACAATTGGACCCAGAAAACTGATCATTGAGTGATGTGATTGTTAAACAAGATGCCACTAGACTGTTTTGCTTAGTGATTGCAATCCCAGCTCTCTCAGTTGTGGTTATTAGTGAAGTGCCAGGGAGAGGATACCAAGTTTCCCACCAGATCCGGGGAGAATGATAATGAGAACAATGGCATTCAGTAGCTTTTTCATCAGATTTGAAGTCCTTTGGCATGCTGGAGGAACAGTCCTCAAATCTGGTGAAAGTGCTAGTGAATATCGGCATTCTGGAAAGCTTAGAATGCTGGTGTTTGCTAGCTTTTTCTTTTCCCCTTGGGCTCAGAATGCTGGACTTTACTAGCATTTTTTCCATCTGAATGCTGGCATATTAGAGAGAAAACGCTAGCGAACACCAGTGTTCTGAAAGGCTCACTAGCAGAGACGAAGTCTGTTCCTCCATTGCACAGGAGGATTTTCCCTTCATGCACAGAGGAAAAAAAGAACACCTTGGCATGTGGGGGAATGAACATCAGATCCAATGTTCCAAGAAAGACTTGCAACCTTCCCTGCTAACGTCTTCATTAATTTTCTAGGGAAGCCAGCAAAGATTGCAAATAACAATCATCTGATTGCAGGGCACTTGGAAACTGCTTGTAAATATGAACAGATTTTCCAGTACCCAAAATATGGTCCTATGACCAAAGAGGTTGGCACAATCCGTAGAAGTACTTATAGGTCATAAAGCACCTGTTTTATGACTGTCTGACTGTGAAGGGTCATTAAATGACCAATTGTAAGTTGAGGACTATCTGTACTGGACTTTGAATTTCTGGTTAAGATTTGTTATTTCCTTTTCTACAATACTTTAAAAGGAATATGACATTTTATGAAATTTACTTTAGTGCAATTTTTTAAGCAAAACTTGTGTGTTTTTAATTTAGTAATGATCAATACAATATATTCCACAATTAACTGTGGAGCAGGAAGCCCACCTTTCTCATTTTTAACATAGCTGTAGACAAAATGGCTGCATTTTTTTACAATTGTAAATTAATAATAAATTGTCAGCCCCTTGAAGACTGCAAATAAATTATATCTACGAATTATTTATATTTATTTTTATGCATTTATTAAATTTATATGGCTGCCTATCTGACTTGCATATGACTCTGGGTTAAAAATATCATTATAGTACAAGTAATACCTGTGGTTATTTGCCTGGTTTGAAGTTACTCCTTTCTTACTATAAATGTAGCTAAACTTGTGCACATCAACTTTTCCCACCCTTCCTCAATTTTGGTTTTAGGGATGTACTGTGGAGTTCCTGTATCTCAATTCTAAGCACCTCACTTCAAATCTTGAGAGTGATGTTGCAGACTCTTCAAGTGAACCAAGCCTCCCGGGATGAATTGCCTGTTCTTGCTCAGCTTCTTTGTTTGCTAATGCAACACAGGCAGCTTCAGACTCATATGAAGACCAGTGAGTTCCTGGTGAAACAGATTGTCAAAGATATCATGGTAAGAAGCCCATTCTCAGTCACTGGCTGCTGAAGCCAAATTGTTGTCTCGTGGAATTTGAAAGTAACAGTTTTTCTCATGGTCTTGGTTGATCTTTCAAGCAACTGATCACAAAAAAAGGCTGAAAGAACTTGGCCCATTAGTCATTAAAGGATAAAGAGTCATTCTTCTCTTCTCTGTATTAAGAATGATAGTGGACTTTCTCCAAAAATAATTTCCATTCTAACCCCCAATTTCAGTAGTTAGGACTAACCATTTTCTGCTTCCAAACAGGAAATAGCATTGCAATATTCTGTCTTTATTCTTTCCTAGTTTGGATTGAAGGCAAAATTTTCTTCATATTCCATCAGAATTTGTTTTCAAAACTTAACGATGACAGCTTGGCAACAAAAGAAGGATCCAGTTGTACTGACTATCAATGATCTGTTGTTAACTTCAATAGTTCAGAATTTAACTGAAGAGTCCTTGGTGCTCTCTTAGCGTGGTTGTTTGCTCAGAAATTTCATTACCCAACTAGGTAACATCTTTATAGTATTTATAGTATTTATTGTCACTTATAGGCCGCCCTTTTCCCTGAGGGGACTCAGGGCGGCTTACAACTCAAGGGAAGGGAGTGCAAAACAAGACGTAAAACAATATGTGGATACAAATACAAATAGTAATAAAACACAACATTCATTCAACATTCGGGTGGGACTTCAGTGCACTGAGGATGTTACTAGTTGGGTAATGAAACATTTGCCATCAAACAGCTATGTTCAGATATCACTAAGGACTCGTCTTTATTATCTTTGCTTAATTCTCCATTTTGGAACTAGTGCAGCTGATAACTGGTATATGAAATCCTTCTCTGAACAGGAAACTATATTTCTGTAAAATAAGAAGCTATAAATAGTTCTTCCACTGTTATCAAGCCCCTCTGCCTCTGCCTCCCAGAAATTTGTCTCCTTGCAGCAAACAACCCATTTAATTTTCAATTTCAGTTTCAGGACTGATGATCAGCTGTTTCAGGCTGCAGGGATTGCTACAGCCTATTGCAGCCTCCGCAAGCCCCATTTTCCCCGTTTGCTACAAGGAGGCAGAGGCCAAAGGGTGGGTGGGTGGGACTACATTCAATGTATAAGACACACGCAAATTTTCACCCTCTTTTATGAGGGGGGGGGGGAGAGAAAGTGCCTCTTATACGAAAAATACAGTACTCTTACCCAAATCAATCTGATCTATTGGGTTATCCAAAGAGATACTGCTTCTACTATTTTACTTTCAGGGGGTAAAGAGTGAAACTAGGAAACCCTATTTTTCAGGGCCAACAATCTGGAAGTGTCTCCAAGCAGAGATCAGATTTATTAATTCTTTGATGGCCTTCAAGACTCAAAAACAGAGAAATTTGGGAAAGCATTCTAGTCAGATAGTGAGGCCTGCCCCCTGCCCCCCCTCCCATTGTGACTTCCGGGTTGGTGCAGAAGGTCTTCCAGACCCAAAATGGGGCAGGGGTATGCATGCTTTTGGCACACGACGACAAAAAGGTTAGCCATCACTGGTGGTGTCATTAAGCAAATTCAATCTCCCATACTGACTGTGCTTGTCTGAAGCCTGATGGAAAGTTGCAAATGGTAATTGTGTAAGTCCAAAATGCTGCAATTGTTGTTCATTCATGTTGGCTGCCAAGTACCTGAAATTTGATCATGTGATTACAGGATGCTACTATTGTTGTGTGAGTCACTTATTTTGTCAGATTGCCATAAAACCAATTCTGCCCAGTTTTACTGCGCTTTGATAGCAGCTTGACATAAAATATAGGGAGGGGGAAAGGGAAGATAGGGAGGAGGGATGACAGGAACCAGAGGTGCCATCCAAAGACAATGGCTGAAAATCCAAGGTAGAAGCCTGGGAATGGAAGGCGAAATGAGCATCCAAAGAGCACTAAAATGTGGAACTGTTACTAAGACACCAAATTTGAACCTTATTGGACACCACCATGATGTTCAAAGGGGGGGGGGCTGTGAGAAGGGAAAATGAGGATTACATGGGAAATTCTCAGATCTGCCTTTGTTACACTATAACTGCTGGTACTTGGCTTCAGTAAAAGTATAGCCTTCACTATAAATTGAATCAAGGGTCTTTCTTTCCTGGATATGCAAGCTGGGACAGATCTGACATAGTATTGTCATAAATTCAAATAGTTATTTTGCATTGTTAAATAAATTGTCGTAAGCCAAGGACTACCTGTATCTTACATTTGTATCTACACAAATTATAGATAAGAGAAACACTTTCCCTTTTCTATTTCTCTTTTCTCTTTCAAGTAATTATGTTTTTTTATTCACAGGTCTTGAAAAGTGATGAAGCTCAAGAGCAGTGGTTGACAGACCTCCATTACAATTTTAATATATATTTAGCCACTCATTCTCCAGGATCTGGGGTAGTCAATACACTATATTAAAGAGAATATTTGGTTGGAATCTCTTGTATAAATAAAAAGTCCTTTTTGTGGAAATTAAAAATGCATTTTATACAATCTCTGATTTGTGTAAAAAATGTTGCTCTTTACATTTGATATTAACATTTAAAAGTTACCTGATATAAAATGAAGTAATACAATAGCTTAAAGCAAACGAACAATCATATGCAAATGTTGAGAAACATATCGAGAAATTTTACTTACTGTGAAGAACAGGGAACAGTTTAGTTGTTGCTATTAAGTTGGTATACCTGAGTCTCAGCATTATATTGCTTAATATGTTAAAAAAAATATAGATCATTTAAATAAAATACTGATAAAACTACTATTAAAGATACTTTAAAATGTCCATGTCCCTTCTTATATAGGAGTCTTATTTTCATGCTTGCATCTGGTGTGTTTTGCTTTCATTATTGTGGCAGGTTTCATATTATATGAAAAATGTTTACATTTCCCTGGATTTTCTGATAAGCAAATATCCTGCAATCCGCCTGCTGTAAAAGAAGCATAAATGTATTAGTGCTTTTGTTCAGTGAAGACTCAAGATAGTTGGTTTTCTTTCTTTATTAAACATAAAAAAAATCTAACTTCAAAATTCTGTCTTACGTAATTGAAGGTCATTAAATGGCAAATGTACTCTTAAATTTTTAGAGGATTCCTGTATCTATAGCTGGCAGCTATTATCTCTACTGTGTTATATGATATACTTTAGCTCTACCAATTTTATAAAAATCTGCTTACATAAATCTGTTGCTTTTAAAAAGACCATTCTTGTTTTGTCCATTGACAGGTATTACAAAAGGGAAAACAAGGAATAACTTCAAAATTGGTACAGTGGTACTTAGAAATTTGTGACCTTTTTTGAATTTTCAGTGTTTCAGCATAAACATGACATAAAATGTGATCTATCAAAAATACACTTGTTCATTTATTTAGGAAAATGATCCAAAACTACATATTTGTGTGTGGGGAAAAAAGATGAACCTCTAGGGTTATTTGTTCATTTGAAAGTGGGTGTTTCCATCAATGAGATAAAAATTGGGTGTGAATGTGAGAAGCCCTACCTTATCTGAAGAACAGAATTTTGGGTATTTGTATCAAAGTCTGATCTTCACAACAGGATATGTGGAAGGATCTTATTGCTCAAAAAGGATTTATGTAAACCTGAAAAAGCCGGAAAAGTTTACAAAATGTTTGGACTGTATCAGTCCATTGTCAAAGTAGTTTTGCATTCTGTTCCTAGGCCATGCGTCCTTGGGTATTGCAATCAGGTTTTTTTCTCCCAAAGGCTCTTGCCTTGACATTGGATTTCCAAAGAACTTAAATTTTATCTTCACTGCCAATAAAGTCAGAGAAGTTTAACTATCTAGAAGTAAATTATATATTCCAGCAATCCAAGATATTCTTAATAATTAGCACAATTCAGCTGGATAATTTTTTTCTTCAGCTTTTGTGATGATCCAGCCTTTGTCTGAATTTATTACGGTCTTAGTTTGACATAGAGCAGCAGAGCAGAGCAGTGCAGCATATCAAACAGAAAGCTGTGATATGATTAAATCCTTCCCAGAGTCATCCTACCTCTAAAAATGCTTCTGCAATTTGTGTGAGTTCAAAACCTTTTTATAAACTCATAGGTGTTAACATGAGCTGGGAAGGGGAAACAAGGCAGGGTAAAATACATCAATTATCACTCCCTAAACCAGGCTTGGGTGAAATATATCAATTATATCTTCTTCTGAAATAATTTTTTCAGTCTTTTAGCTAAGGAATGTGTTTTAATAATTAGTGAAATGCACAATCTCAAGAAGCATATCTTCAGAATATTTATTTCTATAGTCTGAGGGATCCTTGATGCTCTCCATGCTTGGTGGTTTTTTTGCAGACATTTCACTACCAAACTGCATTCCTGGTGAGGAGGTGTTTTGTCTTTTGGTTTCTTTTTGGGCTTTTAGATTGTCTTTTTTGAGTGGTATATAAATGTTTATCTCTATGTGCCTGATCATGGCCACTGTGACTGATTGCCAGGCCTTCAGGAATTGTCTGATTAATACTAGACCAACAATCAGGAAGTAAAGAATACACCAATGAAAGAACTAGTAATGCAGATAAACAAATTAACAGTAAATATCTAACCAAGATATCTAACTAAATATCTAATCAAATATCTAACTAAGAACACTCTCACCAATACTGACAGGGCAAGCCACTAATATATAAAAATAAGAACAAATCTCCCTCCTTCCTAGTGCTGATGGTGTTACCAAGTTTGGTAAGAAAACCTGCAAGAAAACCAAACTGCGAGTTTAATAAACTAGGAGGTGAGAAACTCCTGTGTCATCATTGCAACAAAAACCTGGTTAAAGCACTCTGTCCTGGATAGTGCTGTTAGCTTGGTACGATTTTCAACATTTGGCTGGACTAGAGCTTTGCTTAATGGCAAATCCCTTGAAGGGAGTGTCTGTTTTTATATAAATGACAGATGGTATAATAAATGCCAAGGTGGTTTCACATCTGTGCTTTCTTGATGTGGAGCTTTTGACTATCAAATGCAGACACTATATGCCTAGGGAGGGAGCTATAGAAGCATTACAAGATTCCTTTGAGTTTACAGACTGGATCATGTTTGAAGAAGTGACAACACATAAAAAACATAGATTTAGAGAAGTATACCACTACTGTTTGCATACATTTAGAAGTGCATTGAGGATATCTATGTCCTTAAAACATTAGGGCTAATGAAAAAGCATGGACTATGAGGGTCATAAGATGTTGAAATCTTGGAATGTTGAAGGCTTGGAATGTGGCTTTTAAATCTGGTGATCTGCTGGCACTTAGAACAGCCAGGGTCAATTTGAAAAACACCATAAAAACAGCAAAGAAGCCCATTATCAGAAAATTCAAAACTTTTCCCTACAAACACCAGATGTAGGTGACAAGGCATCCAGGCCATTACAGACTATAAGGTGGCTCTATCATGTAAGGGCAACACAGACTTTTTAAATGAGCAGAACACATTTTTTGGAAAATTTGAGGCATCAAATAGCACCTCTGTGAAGAAAGCTGTGCCCCATCTTGACATGCAAGTGATTAGCTTTGATGTTACCTCTGTCTGGAGAACATTGCACAAAGTTAACATTCGGAAAGCAGCTTGCCCAGATAATAATTGTTCTACAGAGGATACTATTTCTTCTATCCAAGTTTGGTACACTTATAGGAAAGAAATAGTCGTGTGAATGCTGTTTGTTGAATTTAGTTCACCATTTAATAAGATCATTCCTTCTTTGTGCAATTGGATTCTTGATTTTCTTATTGATAGGCCCCAGTATGTATGAATTTGGACTAATACTTCTAACACAATGTTCTTGAGCACAAGGTCTCCTCAGGACTATGTCTAAATCTCCTGTTGACCTATGACAGTTGTGAAAGGTTTGCCACTAACCATATTGTATGTGGATGATGCAACAGTAGTGGGCCTTATTCAGGATGACAATGAGTTTGGTGAACTGGTGTAATAAAAAGAGTCATTTTAAACGTAGGGGGAAAAACATTGTCAATTTTGGAAAAGGTAAGTACAGCCAGACACCTCTGTGCATTAACTATTCAACTCTGGAGGTGGCTAGCAGCATCAAGTTGCACTGACAAATAAGTTTGCTTGATTGCCACTTTTGTGTCGCATGAGAAAAATACAACTTCCTTCCCTTGTCCTTACCACTTTATATAGAGGAATGTTCAAGAGCATATTGCATTACTATGGTTTGGAAGCATTACTGCTTCAGATAGGAAAGCTGTGCGTATGTATGTATGTATGCATGTATGCATGCATGTATGTATGTGTATACACTGAAGAAATAACACTTGGCTATAATGTAGTGAGTATACAGCTTGTATAACAGTATAAATGTGCTGTCCTGTCAAAATAACACAACATAAAGCCATTAATGTCTAAACTGCTGGCAACAAAAATGTGTGCCGGTATGCTCACAGTAAAAAATGATAATAAAAATGATCTTAATTTATCTAAAAAAATGTAGCTTGGACTGGAGAAATTTGCTAAGCGTACCATCAAACAAGCAAAAATAGTGAAAACTGATGGAATAAAGATGCCCTATGGAAATAACATCAAGATCTGGATGAACGGTGATCACTATATACACTTCAACATTCTTCAAGTTAGTGATGATTATAGGTATTCTGCCTCAATGAACATTGCCAATATATAAAGACATAACATATGTCGTGGTGTTTTAGTTTTAGTTCTGCCCTAAAGAAGCTAGCAATAGGGCTAGTGAAATGTCCACACATATCTATTGTCTCACATGGCCTTTCTGGAAGCCTGTTCACCAATATCCATTTTGTCATTTTTCCTAGCATGCTCAAGAAATCACCGCAATGGGCTTTCTTTCTGAGGTTGCTATAATATGTATCTTTTGCCTCACATCTAATGTTTATAAAGATGATGATGACATAGATTGGAATTGTACCTGATATTAACTGAAGTTCACAAAACTGCTGTTTTGAAGAAGGCAATCTCATTGCATGATTCACCTTTCCTTCTTGTGAGTGTCCTTTAAAAACATATTCCAAAGAGTATGAATGCTGAATGCCTCAATGAATGAAAATCATTTATCAACATAAATAAATAAAAATAATGATAAATAATGAATGCCCCCTTAAATAGAACTGTTTTCATAAATTTTACCAAAATACATCATCATCTGCCTTCAGGAGGAAGCTTTTTCAGGGTCTTCCACTCAGCACACTGTCACTGCAAGCCATACAGTATACTGTAAGGTAGAGAAATGCTACCTGAAGATAATGTTCCAAAGGGTCTAAGTAATAAAGCACCTTGTACTGGCCCTAAAAATCTATCAGCAACCAATGTAAACTAATGCTAGTCAGAAGGTGGGTTGCTGTATTTTTTGCCAATTAGAATTCCCAACTGGCACCCTCCCCTATTTATTGAAGTAGCCTATCTGAGGCATGACAAGAGCCTGAGTCATCCTTTAGCACCTTTTGATTCAAGAAAAGAAAAGAAACTGAGAGTCCTACCAAAGCTGTCCAAAAGCTCTCCTGGCTATGACTGTTATTCTAGCAGGTGTTGTTAGCTCAAGGAGAATACCTAGATTATAGATATTAGATGGATGCATGCATGGATGGATGGATGGATGGATGGATGGATAGATAAATACATTGTGTGTGTGTGTGTGTGTGTGTGTGTGTGTGTGTGTGTGTGATAGAGAGTCAGACAGACAGACAGACAGAAAGAATTGTGACTGAAAAAAAGTTTCAACTTCCCAAGAAAAATACTTAGTGGTATTTATTATTACCATATATCTGCTTCAGAATGGTTGACTTTTGTACCAAGTTGTTTCCTAAGGTGTTTTTGTTCATTGCCTTTGGGATTTTGCCTGAAGTAAGTGCTTTAGGTGCAGTAAAGTTTAACTTTTTGTTCCAAAGGGCCTTAATGCACAAGACAGTTGTTTTTTGTTGCCATTCATCTTTGCGTTGCTGTTTGGTGCTAAAAAGCTGAAGGAATTGTTTTCTTAACTGATAGCTAGAAGGAGAAAACAAGTGGGAAATTCTGTTTTAGCTTACTACTTTTAAACTCCAGATATTTCTATGAACCATCTTTTTTTCATTTTTTTAATAATATTTTCTCTTAATTGGATTAACTTCCATATTTTCAATGTTTTAAGAAAGCAGTAAGCAAATATAAAAAACTCATGGATATATAGTAACCACTCTACATAGAACATAAAAGACATAAAAAGTGGAGAAATAATAAATAAGGAAACAGAAGGAAATCCATATAAAATTAATTAAATCCTTAAACTTATAAAATTCATACAATTTACAGAAACTCTATACTGTTACACCATGTTCTCAATTTTAGAATATAAAGACCTTTACAAAATGAATAATAAATCTGTTCCTTAATATGGGGATAATTTCATCTGTAGATATATCTTTATAACCAAGCCCATGGTTTGTTCTTTATTTCAGAAATATAAGTCAAATCTCATTCACTTTCTTGCCTTCCTCTGATATATTCATTGGTCCTTGGGTTCTGTTTTTGGATAGTTGTAGCAAAAATGTATGTCCTTTCTTCATGAGAATGATTATTCCTACAGCTAAATGACTGCTCACTGCAGTATTTCCACATTATTATGATATCTAATATTCTTATACTTCAAAACTTTTTAACATATCTGAAATTGGGAAAAGTGTACCATGGAAACAAAAGGATTACAGATTAAAAATGCTGCAATGTCCAATGTTATATCATCTGTGCTTATTTGAATAACCACTTCCTGAATTCTGGGACTGATGACCTAAATCAGGTTGAGAAATACTGAGCAAATCAGCAAAATATAACACAATAGAAACCTTCTAACTACTCCACCTGTTTACATCCCTTCCAAATCACTTGATGCATTACATATATATTCGGTTCCACCACAAAACTGCGTTCGACTAAAGGGCGCTCGACGAAACCGCGTAGCTGACGTCATCACAGCGCGACAACAGCGCGGAGAAAAAAGCATGCTGTAAACGCTAAACCTAAAATTAACCCCTAAACCTAAACCTAACCCCCCTAAACCTAATCCTAAACCTAACCCTTAACCTAACCCTAACCCTAACCCTTTACCTAACGCTAAACCTAATCCTAACCCTTAACCTAACCCTAAACCTAACCCTTAACCTAACCCTAAACCTAACCCTTACCTTAACTTGAATCGGCTTGCTTTCAAAGCGCTATTTAAAGCGCCCTTCTTTCTCCGCGCTTGCTGTTGTCGCCCTGTTGATGACGTCAGTGACGCGGTTTAATCAGGCGCGCTTTAGTCGAGCGCGGTTTTGTCGTGCCACGATATATTTGACATCACATTGCTCAAAGTATACCAAAACACAATTTTAAATATATGCTAAGCCTCATGATGAAATTTTTAGTTGTAATTAAAATGAGATAGAATGCAGGAATTTCATCCATACCTTCTCCATACTTTTTGAATAACATTTGCTGCATTATACTTCTTCTGAAAGAGCTCTTTTCTTACTCTTTCTTTTTCTATTACTTGCATCTGAATTGCTGATGGGACTGGTTCAGTGTATGCATTTTTATGCTGAACAAAACCAGGCAGATCTTCTGAATTTGTAGATGTTAACAGAGCTTCTCTGTTCAGGCTTGCATCACTTCTAGCCATCTTGTTGAGTGCAATCGTTATAACACTTGCATTCTTGGCCACCAAACAGACACCACTATTTTTCATTTTGTTGATCTGAGTAGCTGTAGCATTTGAAGTAGCCTTTTCACCTTTCATTGTTCTTATTGTGGCACTGCCAGGTCTGCTTGAACTAATCAATGACCCTTTTTTATTATTTGATTCTTTACTTTTTGTTTTTAATTGATGTGGATTATTTTTAAATGCTGCATTACATTGTCCAGAGTTTCTTGTACTTCTACTACTTCTACTAATGCATCTGTCATCCTGAATAGAAACTGTTCTTTCTTCTGAATGATTTATATTATTTCTTACTGACCAGCTTGGATGGTCTGATTCTTCCCCAGAGTTGGGAGATTTAGTGTTTGAATTATGTCTTTTATTGCTGATGTGCACAAACCTACCAGTTGTTGTTGTAGGAGACTTCTGATCCCTGCCTAAGGTAGCAGATACAGTTTGATTCTTTCTTTCAGTTTCATGCCTATGATGGTCATTATTCTTACAAGGATATGAAAGGATATAAGCAGGCTTGCTATTACTGTTTGCCTCACATACACCTGTGGAAATGAGATAAATACGAATACTCTTATCACTTATTAAATATGGTTAGCTTGGTACGGTTAAATATAGTAAACTTAACAATTTTGAGACTCCATATTATAATACAAAAATATTTTTTCAGTCAACTTGTAAGATCTAGTTTTAAAGCTAAAATAGTTTAAAGGCTTAATACAGAAATATTAAATATAAACAAATAGTAGAACAAAGGTTGCAGGATTCTAAAAGAATATAAGTTATTTTTAAGCACCCTTGTGTGAATCTTTACAATTCATACTTGGTACTTTCCAGAACATACATAGATATATACATACATAGATATATACATACATTAATTATACCCTGCCTTTGTTATTTTTACAAATAACTCAAGGTGGTAAACATATCCAACACACCTTCCAACTCCTATTTTTCCAACAACAACCTATGAGGTGAGTTGGGCTGAGAGAAAGTGACTGACCCAAAGTCACTCAACTGGCTTGCATAGCTAAAGCAAACTTGAACTCATAGTCTCTTGTTTTCAGGCCTAGAGCGTTAACCAAATTTTTAGATAGCAACCCCAGTCCTATATATAAGTATGAATGCTCAAGTATAATTCCCATTAATCTCATATGTTTTATGGTTCATGCGAGTGTTTTTAATGACAATTTAATAAAATAGGCATTGTAATAGAGACAGAGTTTGGATTATGTGAATTCATACATTACTACTCAAATAACTATTGCTATAAGTAAAAGACCATTTTTTAAATTGTAGTCTCTGTAATTTTTACAGTTAGTCTTGAAAACCTCTGATGTCCCTTCCAACTCTATTATTCTATGTTCTAATTAGCTGGTGAAAGTAGAGTTGCTCACAGAGACTGCCAAAAGTCATGCCAAAGCAGTCTTGAACAAAAGTATAAATGCATCATAAATGTGGCCAAGGATATTGTGCTCTCTTATACTGTTGATTTAACCTTGTTATTGACCTCAAGAATAATTGGCTTTAAATCAGGAGGCTTTTGATTTTCTATCTACCATGAACAAAAAATACAAGAACTTTTAAAAGAATAGTGGTACTTCTGAAGATAAAAACATAGCTGAAAGGTGAGAATTCAAAGTAAGTCATGTATATGCAAAAGGAAAAAAGAAAGAGAAGACGTCAACAAATTCTCTGTTAATAGGAAAGCTAGAAAATATATTAGAAAACAAATGAACAAGCATTGTTTCCTGTTGTATAATCAGCACCCCGAATTTCCAAGCACACAGAGAATCCATTCACTTTGTCAATTGACATAACCACCACTGAGAAGGGAAATTTATTGACAGTGGTCGTAACAAGCAAACTGGTAGTAGCTCAAAATATTATTTGACATAAGCAGTAGAAAGTGGAAGCATTCTCTATTGTAGCATGTGTTATGGAGAAGGTTACTAAATAAACTATTTGGAGGCAGAAAAACATTAGCAATGCCTTTTATATATCATAGGAAACAGTTCCAAAAAATCAGGCCTTTTGGCAGGTTCAATATATTTCTTTTGCAATTGCTGTAGATCATGGCAAAACAGAATTGATATGATCACTAGAGTATGCCAAAAATGCAATTAACTTACTCTATATCTTTGCAAGAGTTCAGGTCATAAGCATGACAAGGAGTACAATATAAAGGAACTGAATTATTCAACAGCAATGAAATATACATTAGGGATGTATAGATTATTCCTCTTGAGCCAGAGATGCAATGACAATTGTTCTCCGTGACAAAAAGATTGATATCCAAAGGTTCCTAGCATTTGCAATCTTTGCCAAAGCAAAGGAATCACAGAAAATTCTGTATATTTTTTGTGCACTGGCAGAATGCCTTCATTAAGACAAGAAGACAGGAATATTGGGGATGGGTGAAGAACTGAGTCCCCTGAAAATATATTGAACTAAAAAACAAAGTTAAAGGTATTTGTTGTAGAGAAATCCCCAATGGGTTACTGCTTTAATAGAAAAAAAAGAGAGAAGATAATGATCATCACTCCTTTCATCCCAAGGAATACATTCTTCAGGCAGGTATCTACCTCTGGAAGATTTCATACTGGATACTATACAAGTGCATACCCATATGAATAAAACACAGAGAACACAATTTTAAAAAATATAGTATTCACACTTTTTTTCCTTATAACTGCTTTTATCAATATAATAGTTAACTACCTTGAGGGGCTGAAGGGTACTTAAGGATATCTTGAGGAGTTGTTACAGAGAAGCAGAGATCTACCTGATGAAAATATGTAATGATATAACACACACACCACTCTACCAATTGCTGAGAACAAAAGAACTGCATCAACCACGATCCCAAAGGTAGCATTTAAAATCAACAGTCACCCCACTACACTGCAACAAAATAATAACTCACAAGAAATCGAATCACTTCTCAGTAACAACAGTTAGCCACTCAAACTATCAAACAAACTGAAACCAGACCATGACTCAGAAGTCCCGAGATAAACAACTCTAAACCTATTCTGCATCACACATAGTACTTAAAATGCAAAGACTATAGCCCAGCAACAACAGCCAGCCAATCAAATAGTCCGACCATGACTCAAAAATATCTGAACAAACAACATTGACTAATTTGCATCTCATAAAAAGATATTTAGAGACTTATGTTCTGACAGACAAGCACAATTCAAAACACACTGATGATGTCTTCTTGAATGGTGATGAAATGCTTACAACCAAACTGCCAAGCTCTGAGTTCAAACCAACAACCTAGATATATCTTCATTCAGCTCCCATTTTTATTAATGTACTTTTTACATATGCTATCTTCTACTTAATTTATTTTTATTCTAGCTCTGTATGATTTTCTTTTTACCTGATTATTTCTTTCTATCCATCTTTTAAGGCTTTTATCATTCCAATCATTTGAATCCTTCCTCAAAAACTATAGTGACTTATTTTCCCTTTTCTCTTCAATATCTATACTTTTATATACTAACTCATTTTTTCTATGATCAGCATAACTATCCTCTATTGACCAAAAATCCAGTGCTTCCATAAATCAAAAGACATTTTCTGCTTACTTGGCACAAATCAAATAGCACAAATGTGGCGGTGGTATATATGGAAGTGTAAAGCATTGGATTCTTGCATTCCCAGCCCCCTCCCTTCCCCCCATTTTATGGTTCAGAAGAATAATCTGATTTTAGGCTTCACAAAGGTAAAAGAGTTTACAAACCCATTTTTCTTTTGTGATCTTCACCAACTAGCTCTATTGACTGACTTTTGTTCTTGATAGTCACTTTGCTTGATAAAACAGTGCTTCTCTTGCCTTTTCCTGGTTGATTTTGTGACATGTTGCCAGACGGAGGCCTTTTAACAGGTGGAACAAAGCATTGTGAAGTATGAACTCTCAAATGATTTCTTTCCATCTCAGGAAAATTCTGCTGCTGCATATGGATCTTAGTAGTTTTGCAATTCTGCATTTCTTTCTGTTGTTCTGAGGCTTTTCTCCTATTTTCCTCTTCACGTTTTCTGCAGTCAACATTTATAATATTTAAGAATTAAGGGGTTATAAGAGTTAATTTGAATTTTTCATTGAAAACATTTCTTAAAATGTTAAAAATTATTTTAAAAGATTAAAACCACGAATTACTTGTACCACTTTTCTGCTAATAACAGATCAGCCACACAAAACAGCCTAAGGACCTCATTCAGTCAAATTACTGGATATTGAACTATATATTTAATTTATTTGGCATATTGATTTAGATTGAGAAAATCCTGTACATCATCATAAACTAAGAACATAGATTTTGGTTTTAAAAAATCTGCTTCTTATATAAAATCCCCAAGTTTTTTTTTAAAAGAATTCAATATTAATTAAATGCTTAAAGCATACAGTAAAACATAGTATATATAAAATAAAATAAGCAATAGAATATATAATGAAGCAGCAATAAAAAGCTTAAAAACATAACAACAGATCAAACAATCAGTTCTAAATGAAGAATTCAGGAATTCAGGAACATAAGTGCAAAGATCACATCTGTATCTTGCTGGCCTTATATAGAGTAGTTTTCCAATTTATGTTTTGCTTACAATCTAAATTGCAACGCATACTATGTAGGTTGGCCTTTGAAACTTATTTAGGAACAAAAATTAATGAAAACATGGCACTTCACTGCGTATTTACTATACACTATGCAAAGTGTATATGGTTCACTGCAGTGATAAAAGTATTGGTTAAGTAACTATCTTACTTTACAGGTTTGTTCCTAGGGATTAAAATTAAGGGAAACTCTACATAAACTGTACACAGAGGAAAAAGGATATAACTACAATAATTGTGCTGTCTTTCTCTTTAGTAAAATATAAATTACTGTATATATTCTTGTTTAAGGACTAAGAATATTTAAAGGGTTATCTCTTCCTATAAATATTGGCAGCCTATGTATTGCATTCACAACAAAAGTCAATTCTTTGTAGAAACATGAGCCATCCATAGTCTACTTGCGGCACCTTAACTCTGAAGACAAGATTGTTTAGTTCCCCCCTTCCATTCTTTAAAGAGGTATTTTTATTTGGCAAGACATTTAATTTGCCCCTCAATAATTTGACAGCTTTTTCTAGGCAGTCAATTTGTTGCAAGCAGAAATCCAGTACAAGCCCAAATACAAAGATTTTTTTAAAAAAGAAAATAGAAGTAAACAAATAAAACCTGCAAAGACAAAATAATATATTACACAATGGACAGATTGTAAAATGTCAGATCAAAATATTCTCTGCCATTTTAAACTTTAACTGTTGTAACATGATTTGTGACTGTTGACACCCAACAGGCCATTTATGTAGCATGCCTTCATTGATTCCTCTGTTTCAGAAACAATTCCGAAATGTGTTGTTTCAATGAGATGTGGCAGGAAAAAGCCCTAATTTTAACTGTCATTGCTGTCTTGTCATGCATTCTCTTCAGAAGCAGCTCATTTAATCTCAGAGCATGAAAAGCTACAAAGTGAGTTGCAAATTACACTTTAGAAAGCTAACTCAATTAGCATTTGACATTGAAAAAGGAGATTATTTAAAATTTTTGCAAGAATATTATTACTTTATAATATACATTATGTGATATCTTTTCTTTACATGGTATAAATACTTCGATTTGAATTCAACATAAATTATTATGCAAAATTTTCTCCTATTAAGCCAAAAAAATAAATCAGATAAGTAAAATTCATTTATACCAGGAGAAATCTGTGAAATGGGCTACAGGGCTCAGAACGGTTGGCTGAGCAACCAGGGCAAGCAGATTAGAACTACTGCAATGTAGTTGCAAATATATAGAACTTGAAAATAAAGACATAATGATCTGTTATTTTAGATCAAGTCCAACAAGAAGAGGATATTTAAAACAAATGCAACAGTTGTGGAAAGAATAATACCCAGAATAAGAAATAACAAAGCAGAGGTTATAAGATTTATAAATATAAAGCATTTACAGAAGCAGAATTGGAAGAATTGGAAAGATTTACCTTGGCCAAAGAAATTAAAACTGCCAGAAGTAACTTAGACTATAGAAACAAACCAGGGGTAATTGGCAGGAGAGAAAGCAAGCATAGGTGTAGAATTGTTTTCATTCAGAAAGTAGGCTCCCTCTCCAATGCCTCAGAAAGAATAAACTCCTTAACTAAAGAAGTAGAATAACTGAAACAAAAAATAACTGAGTAGCTAGAGCAGCACAAAAGCAACACTCCTGCATTGAAGCCCCAAAGAAACAGCTATCGCAAGCATTAAAAGATGCCAATACTATTATATCAAATATAACTGCAAGAAACAAACCAACTAATGGTTTGTTTCAACTGCAGTTATCTCCAAATAAAGGAACTCTCCTTATGTTCAATAGGCTAAAATGGTCTGAAGGCCCAGGGGAATTCCATTATTGTCTATCAGATGTTGCATCATCTGCAGGTGAAAAGTGCTCTGACTGGTGGTGGGGGGAAATCAGCTCCCATTACATGCTCCAGCACTAGGGTTTTACATCAAAAATGAAGGTACTATATGATCTCTTGGCATGTAAATTTTGCCAGGGTAATCTGCCTCCTGTTTTCACAAAGAATGTCAATCAAGAGTTTCCAGGTGTTATTATCTCATTATCTTTAAACAATACTATTCTCTCTTTATGATTTTTTATCACTTTCTCCAAAGGATATGTAAACATCAATAACGTTTCTTTATACAATATACTTATTAACTCCTAAGATTTTAATATAATGAATATCACTGTTCCACATTTTCAATATCTCAATTTTCTATAAACACCAATAAAACCAGTTACCAATAAGATTTAATCAGTCCCAAGATTATATCTCTAAGTCCCCTCATTTATAGTCTTTGAAAACTATATTTTTCAATATTTTTTTACATCCTGTTAATCATAATTCTTTTAGATATACCTAGTCCTAGTAAAATAAATTGGGAAAATAGTATAATATAGATTGATACATAGACGAATATATTGAAGTTTGAAGATAAAAATTCTGTATATGTAATTGTATTATTACTGTGAGCATTGTAGGAAAAATATGTTAACCCAGTCATTACACTTTCCACAAAAAAATGTTGGTTGTTAGAGAAGAATGGGGAATAAAACAACAGTTTCCAGTTAATTGAGTTGTATGTACAATCTCCAATGACATTCAAATGAAGCTCTAATATGCTAAGGGGAAAATATGGTGGTTTGGGCTCAGTATTTTTCAGGAGCCTTTGTTAGAACTTATTTTTAATTTATCAAGACCAACCAGAATATTATAATTTCACCATGCATTTTATATAGGGATTGCTGTTTATCAAAGTTCACCAAACTATGCAGAATTTCAGATTCTTCATTCTTCAGTAATACGTCATGGCTTCTGTGTCATTTAAAGACTTTTGACTTGGACTTGCTGGGAGATACTATGGTGCACTCGAGGTCTGCAAAACCCCATGCAGTGCAGGTGAGTTGATTCCCTGTCCAAGCACCAGACAGAGGCAGAGGCGTTGGGGAAGGCGGGCGATCTGGATGCAAATATATAACTTTCCCCCAAAATAGGACTTACCTTGAAAACAAGTCCTAGCCTGGTGTATGTGTACACACACACACACACACACACACACACACACACACACACACAC